CTGAGCTTTCATCTCGGCTAAATGTCTGAAGCTGAAATTAGTAGAGGCAGCAGATACTCAGATTCCATGAAGTTTTACATCTATGTATTTTGAACAGGACAATCAAGACACCGACCTGCTTTCAGAGCTAGTGGGGAATTTTGAAAGGCCTGGCCATGGTAAGTAAGTGTGGACTGAGTCATTTCACTGGTTCTGGGAATCTTTTTCTTTGGTTTGCTATCTGGTTTAGACTAGAGAAGAAAATGTGAAAATCCAAACTCTCAGTTTCCCTGTGAAAGTTGCGCACTTCAGCTTTTTAATTCTAAAGGGGATACTAAAACTTGTCTGCAAAAGCTGTCACTACAGATGTCTGTCATTAATTAAACACTTGAAGCAAACATGAAATCCACAACACAAAGTGATTTCTAAGGATGGGATTTAAAAAGGGATCTGCGTTTGGTCTAACTTGTTCCAAATAACACGAACAATTAAGTTTTGAGTTTGGCAGATGCACAGTACTTATTTTAAAATATCCCATAGAATATACCAATCAATAGTTTACAAATACCCTATATATGGGCCTTCTGCATGCATTCTGTAAACATATACTCAAGTAGCATTACTGCATGCTTCGTGTGATTATTTGTTAATGTAGTTGCATGCAATGTTGTCATGTGAGGTTTTGTGTAATTTGAACGTCTCCCTCAATATTTTTACAAGTGCTATGATTTATCAGATCATGAGAAAATACCATTAGATACAGATACTTATACGTGTTTACGTAAAGATCAAATCAATTCTTCAAACTGACGTAAAGCAATCCGTTGCAACAAGGTTTCTAAAGTCAATACTATTTATAGAGATCAGTGAGAAATGAGCCTGTTGTTTTCATTACAAAGCCTCACTCCATAAATAATCACCTTGATTTCAGTGCCCGTTCAGCATGGGCAGTGGTACCAGAGGCCAGCCCTTGTCTGGTAACTGAATACATGCAAACGAGCTGATTGTGCAAAGTGCTGAGCACTCCTGTGAATGCTACAGACTTTCGGTCTTCAGCAGCTTGATAGATCAGCCTTATAGGCTATAAATATTCATAAAGCATTGCGGAGGAGAGGGACAGTCACAAGCTGGGGTTAGGAAAACATTTTTTTAATTGCATGAAATAGGAAGTAGAAGAAAGACTCAAAAACTTGGAATCAATTACCTGGCAGTGATAAATCACCTCTAGAGAAAGAGCAGAGTAATAAGAAGTGGGAACAGGGATGGGAAATGGTGATAAACTATTGCAGCACTAATTTGGCATCACCCCATAGATGCTGCACAGCTGTAATCCTGAAATGTCTGAGTTTCTTCTCTGCTGAAATTACTAGTCTCTGTGTGAAAGTACTTCCTTACCTTAACCTGAGCAAGCTGTGTTTGCGTGTTACTCCTCAGTTTACAAGTGGTGACCTCACCCATGGAGTGTGTGAGACAGTGGCACACTCCTGCTCTCAAGTATTTCCATCATGTGCAATGGCTCATATTTGTCTGTCTTCCTTCCTTGCACACTTAGGCAAGTGTGGGATGGCAGAAGGTTTTGACTTGGTCGAGCTCGCAGGGTGCGCTGAGAACAGGACCCAGATTTCCTGTCTCTCACTCTCGGGCTCAGTCTGCTACTGTTCGGCAGCCACCTTATTTATCCTACCTCGTGCTTGGTTAAGTATGAGTAGATGAATTTCCTCTTCAGAGTGTTAATAACCACAGCCTCCTCACATTTTTCCTCTTGCTGTTTTAGGCAAATATACATGCTTGCCACTGAATATTTAATAAACACCCTGAGGAGGTCAGTTCAGTATCTAATCCTGTCTTCTGCACTGACAGTGCTTGGCAGTGGGTGCTAAAGGAGGACGGTAAAGCCTGGGATATTGAAGAAGTCCCCAGAAGTACCAAGAGCTGCTGAGCCTGACCTGTTAGAGAGAGGTGAGCTCAGTCACCAGCCACTCTCCCACACAGACCAGGCCAGAACTAGTGTCTACAACGAGGAGATGGGCCACCGTCCCCTCTCAGTCTGTCTGCTTTAGTCTTTCCCTCGATGTGTCGGTCAGTGGTCCGTGGTTAACTGGCCATAGGCTATCTAAGCCAGGAGATGACAGTTGGGAAAATCTCCGAGAGCGTGCGTAATCTCTTTGGGTGGGCTCTGCAGCCTGTGTCCTGTACAGCAGACCCACAGTGCTTGTGATGAACTAGGGGCCTGAGTATCCCCTTGGGAGGCAGAGTTCAGCCCCAGTGATTTGTCTCTAGTTTACGCTGGCAGCTTTCCGTGTACCAGTCTCATGGATGTGGACGTGTATCAGCAGATGAATGCTATTTTGAGCAGTGCATCCCAGGATAAATCAAAAGCTACCTACTTAATTTTGTGGTGGTTTTGTTGTTGTTGTTGTTTTTTGTTTCGTTGGTCAGTTGGTTTTGTGAAGGCTAGGAGTTGCATAAGGTTTTCCTAACAGAATTGCTCTATTACTTCTGCATGTGCTAGAAGAGGTTTAGTAAACTGCCATCAGTATCAAATGCCCTGTGTCATTCTGACTTTGAAAAGTCAAGCAGTTAAGTTTAGTTTTATTTGAAAGGTATAAAAGTAAGGTTCCTGAACAGCTAATTCTTCTGGATAAGCCCTGATTATCCTACACCACAGCACAGAGGATATTCTAGAAGAACTTGTGGGATGGCAGGGCATCAAGCAAAATCTAAGCACATATGCGTTTGCTTTACAGCCTCTTCTCAAAGCTGCCTCCCTTCTCTCTTATCACTTTCCAGATTCAATTGCACTGCACCTTCTGCTCTGCCTTATCAATAAAGAGCTGTCATCACACATTGCTGTCAAAGCAAAAGAGCAAACTGTTGTCAGCAGATACGCATACAGCAGCCCACTTAGCTGAAATGACATTCCCAGTCAGTCTTTGACAACCAATCCTTAAAGGAAGTTGCAGGAATCCGTTATGAAACACTTGGTGGATGAATAGGAAAATAAATGTAAACAATGAATTAATAAAGCACTACTTAAAAAACCCCACTTCAGCATCTCCATTCTGTAGGAGAAAGTGAGGGGCAAGCCTTTTATTTTTTTAATGATAATTGATTATTTTTATTTAGCAAACTATAGTTGGTGATTAGATGCAGTGATTACACTGTCTTACATGAATTTTTCATTTAAGTGGTAGCTCAAAATAACAGACAGCTGCAAGAAACTTTAGGTTCATACTGGTGAAACTGTCCAGCTCCCACAGAGCTTCTTCCTCTGTGATCCTCTGTGTTGGATATTTTTTTTAAATCCATGATTTTTCTTTTAATGCTCTTTATAGGAAATGTGCTATTTGTCCCACTTTAACACATTCTAATAGCTACCCTATACAGTGAATTTCTGAACACAGATCAACACAGTAGTCACCTAACTACACTTTTTATCTTTCACTATTTTGGTAAAGTATTAAAAATATTAGTAGCTAAAAATTACCTCCTTAAAAATTTCTATTCCTGTCTTTGACTCATTCACCTCAAGCTAAATGTGTTTGACTGTAGATGAACCAAACCATTCCTCATGTGGCAGGTACTGCCCCCAGTACTGTTCCCCAGTCATCCAGTCAGCAAAAACTAAGATGATGTGTGTATATATATATATATATATGTGTGTGTGTGTGTGTGTGTGTGTATATATATACACACACATTTTTAAGCAGTTGTAAATACTGTTGTTACCCAAGGATTTAGTCTGCTGTCATGGAGGTCACTGAGACTTTTGCTACTGCTTGCTATAACAACAGGATCAAATCTTAGTCTCAATCCTGCAAGTGTTATATGGATGAATTTTTTAGGGAAAATTTTCCCCTGAGCATGGTCTGCAGGCACTAACTTCTATGAAGACTTTTCTTTATTTGCAATAAAGATCTGTGGCTTACTGTGTTCTGAGATGACATAATTCACATACAACATATATGTGCATGCGCATGCGTGTATGTCTGTAGGACCTGCTGGATGCATAATAGAATAATCTTTCTAATAGATATTGCAGTTTACATGGTATTTGCATTTTCTAAACATAAGAGTATTGAAAACCATCTCATCGCATTTCAGGAAATTATATTTGGTCCTTTATGCCAACAAGGCTATCCTGTACATTCTGTTGTTAGTAACTAAAATAAAAACATAGCGCTATTTTACAAAAGGAAGATTAAAGTGCATAAGTACATAAATAGGTGCAGATCCTGCTATGAGCTCCTCTGAAGCAGACACGCTCTGTCCGAAGTCAGGGATAGCTGGCTTGGACAGCAACAACTCTGGTGCAAATTACCATTTCTGCTGGCATCACTTGGCCTTCCCACTTGTCCACAACCCAGTTCCACAGACCTCTGAGTACAACGTACCTCTTAACATTGCACGTGGTTTACAACTCTGCGAGCCTGCAGAATTGGGCCCAAATTAATTGAGGTACCTTTGGAAGCAGAAATTTTCTTGACTGCCCACTAAGAAACATATTTAAAACAAAATACATCCATTTTACATGCATCTATATTCAGAGCTATGTTAAAAATGGACCTTGAGAAGGCTTTTCAGCAAAGAAACCAAGGAGAGGGAATCCACGTAGGGCAAAGTGATGTCAGCGTAGTGTGATTAGCTGCTAAGAAGGTCCCTTGGATGCATTGCTTGCCATCCTAGTGTGCAATAACCATTATCTAGGTTTGATCTTAATGTATTTTTCTGTGTATATATAGAGAGATATAGCTTGCATGGGATGAAGATTCTTCAGAAATGGTTGTTTCATCTATTTCAGGGCTTTGTCAGATTAGCCACAGCTCATTTCAATCCTTTGACTTTTAATTTATTTACAATATTTTGTGCTTTTGAACTTTTCCTTTTTTGAGTAATGTCTGAGAGAATTCCCCTACTGATCTACAGCCGTGATCTTTTGGAAAATATGGTCATTTTGAGATGAGTAATAAAAGAGTCCTCTGTTTCCTAATACAATTTAGTCACTTCATCGATACTTTGCATTACGGCTCTAGATTAAAAGCTCGTAACAGAATGTCTAGATCACCCACATTGGCAGCTTGAAATAGTTCTGGCTGGTCCATCATAGACAAAGCAATTCGAAGGGCTGCCCAGATATTTCCTGATAGAGCAGGATGGGGAACCTGTTGTTGATTCCTGCTCTTTCTTTGCAAACTGAGAGCAGTGAGAAAATTGCTGACAGCCTCTCTGTAGGGAAGAAGAGAAAAAGAAACAAGCGATATAATTTGCTTAACAGCTAGAGTAAAACTTTCTAAAATTCTACGCTAGATTCAAGTATAATATTTTACAATGCAGTTCATCAGTCTCTTTGTATTATTCTTGCCTGATTTTCTTTGAACAAGTGGACGTGGCTTGTAGTAATGCAGAGCTCAGTCTGTTCATACATCTGGGGATATTATCTTCATTGCTGTGCAGCTCCCTTTCATCTCAACTGTCTGAAGTTGACTGTTGGGACCCTGGAATATTGCCCTTGATTTCTGAACGATGTACCAAAACTGTTTTTGATGGCATTAGCTTCTTGAAGCAGTTTAACCGAAGATTTTCTTCTAAAGACAGGCTCTTACATGTTTTTTTTTAGAAATACTCTTAAACACAGGACTAAGTTTAAGTGTGAGAATAATCCCACTGATTATACTTAGGGTATTTGTACTTAGAGCTAAAAAAATGCTTAAGCATTTATTTTCTTTGGTAGACATCCAGTAGCACTATTATGTAGAAATTGTATAATAAGTATCATATCTCTGTAAGTATTTTGTAAAAAATAAGTACAAAATTTTACAGTAGCTGAGATTATTTAGTTATATGCTGATTTTTTTTCCTTAGCTCCAGTTAGAAATGAATTTTCACTTGTAAATGAATTTTCACTTATAATCCTCAACGTTTTTGTTTATACATTTTTGTAACTTACCTGTATGCCCCGAGGTTGATGCAGCTTATCCCTAAATTGTATCTGGACCTGATGAAGCCAGGTTGTATTTCTAACGCACGTGTGTAGGCCTCGACAGCTTCTTCACTTCGATCCCCATTTGCCAAGGTTGCTCCAAGACGGTTCCATAATGTATAGTCCTGGTGAGAAAATGAGTTTTCTACTGAGGTGTCAAAAAAGGATGTAATACCTCATTTTTGCTTGCAAAGTAAGGAGGACTGCAGAAAATAACAGTATCATAACTTCTCCTAATTGGCATAGAATGTGAGGTTCTGACTCATGATTGTAGGTGACTTTATATAACTAATACAATTAATCAACACGTAGCTAGAAAATGGACATGTATAAATCTGCTTCTAAATGGGACTGTCTTGTAATTAACATTTCTATTTCAGGTATTAAAATTTTAATGGCTCAAGTGACATCTCATTAATATTAGCCTGATCAAGAGGGGAAAAAGAAAATGGCCTGTAAAGCTAAATTCTTGAAAATGTAAAAGCATAAAACGTACCTCTGGCCGAACAGTTAAAGCAGCACTAAATGCATCTATTGCTCTGTTGAATTCTCCGTTCAGGTGGAAAAGAACTCCGAGTCCTGTCTGCAAGTCAGGGTCTATCATATCACCATTCTGATGTGCAGCCTCCAGGTACAAATCCTTTACTTCTTCAAGTAATGAGCTAGACAAGGGTTAAAAACAGCTTAAAGTTCCATCTTACAGTTCTTACAAATATTGTAATATCAATTGCATAGCCAGAAATTAAAATCCTTGTAGTGGATGTAGCAGAAGCAATGTTTAAAATTTGCCACTAAGTTTCTTCAGCTTCATCGTGGCAAAGATTTACCTCCAGGTGCTGTTGTAAACTCATGTCTGGAATGAAAAAGTTCACCTATATAATGATTTCTGTGAGGAGAGGCTGAGAGAACTGACGTTGTTAAGCCTAGAGAAAAGGAGGCTCAAAGGAGACATTGTTGCTCTCTACAACTACCTGAAAGGAGGTTGTGGTGAGGTGGGGATAGTCTCTTTTCCCATGTAATAGGCAACAGGAGGAGAGGAAATGGCCTCAACTTGCACCACGGGAGGTTTAGGGTGGACATTAGGGAAAATTTCTTCACTGAAAGGGATGTCAAGCATTGGAATATGCTGCCCAGGGCAGTTGTTGAGTCACCATCCCTGGAGGTATTTAAAAGACATGTAGATGTGGCACTTAGGGACATGGTTTTGTGGTGGAATTGGCAGTGTTGGCTTTATGGTTGGACTACAGGATCTTAAAAGTCTTTTCCCACCTATTTTATGATTCTATGAAGTCAAAGTGGAGCTATGAACTCAAGTGAGATAACATGAAGATTTATTAAAACTATTAAAATTGGATTACTTTCTCAGATGTAAAAGTGTTCTTTACTGACAAAAATAGTAGTCGTTCTTAAGAGGAATAAAGGAAGTGACTAGTCAAGACCCCTGAAGAAAGATGCCAAAATTTAAGACTTCTGTACCCACTGTAGGCTTCATGAAACTGTTGCACTTACAACACCGGATGTCAGCGGGTTGAGGCCAAAGCAGAATAACACACTTAGCAATTAAGCAGAACTTTCATATTTAATTTTTGTTTATACTAAATTAGCTTGTGAAGCAAGGGTTTGTTAGTGTTAAGGGTAAAATGTAATGTCTTCAAAATGACTAGTAGTGAGATCGCCCCACTGTTTTCATCCTGTAAGTCGCGTTTACGCCTTTGACTTTATCATGCGTCTCAGAATTCAGAGGTACGTACTTATTGATGTCATGGCAAAAGGCTGCCAACTCATGAACTTTTTCATTACTTAAAACGGCTGCCAGCTCCCCTTACCATATCCTAGGCTGAAATCTCATATAATGACTACACTGTCTCTTTGGTTAGAACCAGAATGACTTTTAAACAAGCAGATACTGCGTCCTGATATTGTCAGTGAAGTGAAGCCATGTCCCACTGCAAAAGGGCTATTGCCCCTGGATTCGAGTGACTTTGTTGGGACCTGGCAAATGGGATGCACAGTAGGAGGAATACACACGGGTAGAGCAGGCTACAGGCCTGGCAGGGATGCGGCAGCAGCTGAAGAATGAATGAGGATGCAGGATGTGGGAATAGAGAGGCAGCAAACAAGGTCAAAAGAAAGTGATGCGAGTTGAAAGAAAGCATCTCTTTGTAGCTATGGTGGTGTTTTGTTTTGTTTTTTTACATTTCCAGGGTTGGTGTAAGATATAGCCTTCAGTCACCAAACCACATGTCCTGTGTTGGCTTCCCACTCCTGCCACGAGAGACGTTGAGAGTTCCACCATAGGGAGCAGGCTGGACTTCTACAGATTAAGGGGGCACAGCATGCACCACCATTTCTAGTGATATCTAGATGTTAAAATTTCCACTATCAGGATTTGCACTGCATTTACCTTTCATCTGATGTCTTAGACATTCTCCTGGTAAGTGCTGGGGACCCTTTTTTGCTTTTCACTATATACTTATATTTTGGATTTTGCTTTATCCAGTTTCTTAGAGCTTGATAGGCTTCTTGTTGGTGGCCAGTGTTAGTATAACTTACAGCCAGGGCCATCAGAGCTTTTAAGTTGTTTGGCTGTAGTTCCAAGCACCTAAGTAGAAACAAAAATATATTGAGGTATTATTTTAGTCAAATAGAATTCTTTAATTCTTCCAAAATAATCTGTGCAAAAAAAAATCACTGTCACAAGTAAGCTCTACCCAATAATAATTTTAAAGGGACTGATTTTTTCTTATTTTTCTGTGGTAAATGCATTATGTGTACATACACATATTCATGCACTTTGGTGTGCGTACACACGTGTATACATAAATGTACACGTACAAGTTTAATTTTCATCCTTCTGGCTATGAGTAAATAGGTAGATTAATTTTTATAGTATCTAAAGAGAGAAGCTTTATGTAAATTCAAGTTAACAGTTTAAAAGGGTTTAAAACAGCATTTTGAAAAGAAAATTTCTGCCATCTAGATGAATCTTCTTAGCTATCCTGAATTCCCAGATTTTCTTTGATAAAGCTGGAGCCAATCATTTCAAGTAGTCTTTCTTATGGTTAGATACCATTAACTGAAAACAGACTCTAGTCTACTTCATGAACATCACTGGTGATTGTTTCAAAACTGTGGGGATGAGCAAGGCCTAAATCAGGCAACCCCTTGGCATTCTATCGAGGTAAGCTAACAACTCACATATCAGTAAGTTAGAGTATCCTTAGGTGTTGTTAGGACTTAGGACTTGTTAGTTAATATTGCTAATGCAATTGAATATGGAGAGAGTACTTGCTTCAAATGGAAATATGAAAACTCACTACAGAAAGATAATAATAATGCTGATATTTGTACTGAATTTTACGTACAAGGGTTCCATGATCTTCATGTCTCTATCAGCCTAAAAATATTGTCAGTTTAATATTCAGCAGCTGAAGGGAGCTCAGTCCAATTAAAAAACCCTCTTAATTAAAGGACAGACTACACAAAATATGCCAATTAGGTGGAATATCAAAAAGGCACTTTCTTTGCATTATGCCTAATTCACATTTATCAGACCACGCAACTTTTCTTTTGTGCTACTACTTAAAATACTAGATTAAATATTGCATTTACTTGATAAAACAGAAATATTTATCATTAGTCATTCCTCTGAAGTCACTGGGAAGATTTCTGTATGTACGTCAATACTTTCCTTAGTTAAATAAATACTTCATGTTGCAAGTAGGACATTAAATATACCCTAGTCATCATTACTGAATACTCCTAACACCCTTTATTTAGCAAATCTCTTCATCTACCTTTGGAGGGCGACAATGGCTGCCTGCTCATTTTCATTCTCTGCCTGTGTTATGCCCAGGAACTGCCAGGCCTGCAAAAAGGAACCGTTATTGTGTTATTTTGTTATATATTCTCAACTGCAAGCAGAGTTACAATCAATATCACTGTTAAGCAGCAAGGTAATTAAAATAGGACATCTGCCCAGCACTATCTGTAGGTTTTTCTACAGTGCACAAACCAGCAGTACAAATCCATGCTGTTTCGAATATCTTTGGGCCTGATGATATGTGTAATCCATGCAAAGGCATTCAGTCAGTGTATGATCACACGTGAATTTCTTAAATTTGAGTTACTCTACATTTTAAATGTTGCTAGAACTTTATGGGAAATGGTGAACAACAATTATTAAGTTGTACAGGTTGAAGGGATTCTAGAGGGTCTCTTTGCTTTTTGAAATACGGCTGCTTAATTTAATGTAGCAATAGATTCAAAAAGACCTAGATGCTTACACTGTAAATATTTTTCATGTTTCGCAGAAAACAGACTTTAAATATGTAGTCACTGAAAACAGCAATATTGCTGCAGAAATGGATATAGCTTTTAAAATTTTTTCAACATTCTTGTTAAATCAAAAATGTTCATCTTTTCAATAGCCGTGTTTTAAAAATAGTTTGAAAACATAATGAAAGAAATAAAGATTTGAAATATTGTCTCTTTTGAATGCTTTTAAATGCCAGCTTGGAAATGCTACAGTTTCAAAAATGGATTCTCATCTTACAAAGAGCTCACCTTTATCTATTTCAAGGCATGCAGTATTCCAAAACCACTGTTCAATCTGTTTCAGTCAGTCATAACTAGCAAAGGTTTAGGCCCTGAAACCATTCCATCCTTGCATGCTAAAGGGAGTCCCCTTTTCCTTTATCTGTAAAAGGCACATGAGTGAATACCTCTGCATCATTGGGTTCTTGTAGAATAGCAGCCTCCAGATATAAGATTGTAACTGGAAGGTCACCTTCTTTCATTTTTTTTAGTCCTTCCTCAAAAGCACCAGGCCAGTCTTTGAAGGGATTCTCAGTATGGAAATAATAACCCTGCAGAAGAGAAATAATAGACCCCACGATGAAGCAGCGTAGCAAGGAATGGCAATTCTGTAATATTAAATGACTCCTTGTTTTCCAACTGGATGTAAACATCCTTCGTCCTGTGAAAACAGTATCAGCTCCCCCATGAAATTTCAATGACGAAACAGTGTAAAAAAGAGTATCAGGGTCACTAGACGTTCACGTTTCTGCTCTCTTTATTTTTACTTTAGCTGTGAAGTTCTACTTAATGCTTCTCATGTCGGGCTCTCCTGCTCCCATCAAAGATAATGGCAACAACTCACGCTGCCTGCACTAACTGCGGAACTGAACCTGGCATGAGCCCCGTACACCCAATTTGATGGTAAAGAGCACACATCAAGCAGTTGCCTCCCTGCAGTGCTTGTAACCCGATGTCTGTTCAGTTAATACGCTGAAATTGGCAGTCAGCCTTTGAGTTGGAGAACAATGTTACAAGCACCTGAGTTTACTTTAGAATTTCTTTAAATTTTGCTGCCTTCTCTTCCTGTAACTGCAGTGTAAAGGATGTGTGCTAATATCAGTTACATAATATAAATACAGTGGAAGAAATGAAAGAGAAAGCTGAAATCTCTATAATTTCTCTCAATGGTGTTTAAATGTGCCAGCCTGTATTTTTTTAATTTGGTGTTCTTCCTTAACTGCCTGTCTTCAAAAGTGCCCATAATCCAGCAGTTTGCTTCATGATCCTTTGAGCTGAATCCAGGCAGTGTGCAAGTCTAGATGTCTTCTCACCATGGTAAGGTTGTTTAAATCTATCCTGCTCACAGACACTTAAAGAGGGCGAGCTCTTTTTGGGTAAAATTAGCTTCCATGTCTGAAGAGTTTTCTGGAGTTCCCTTGAATAGCTGAAGCTCATCTCAAAGTTTCACAGGAAGGGTGTACTGTATTAAAAAAACTTCCTGTTACCTTCTCAATGGTTGAGATGGTGACTTGCCCTGGTGCTTCCTGGTTCTCTGAAATCCAGTTTCTGCGAGCCATTTCTTCCCATTCTGCTTGCATTTTATCCCAAAACTCTGTATCTGACTAGAAGAAAAAGATGGAAAGAAAGAAGAAAATTAACAATGCAACTTTACTATTTTATTTTAAACTTTTAATTTCTTTCTACTGGTGTACTCAGTCTGGCAATTTTGCCGAGCAATATTATTTTAATAATCATACTGACTGAAATATTACAACTGGTATTTGGAATTCCATATAATTAAATTTCGTTTAATGTTGGAATTCATTTTGTCAACAGAAAACTCTTTATCTCAGAGGCAGTGTATGTTCTGTTTGAAGTGGGATTTGCAGCAGCTTACACTGCATCTTATTGATGCTAACAGCAAATTGTTACATAGAATTTGAAGGAAATGAATGCTACTGGTCTCTGACAAAAAAAGAAAAAAAAAGAGAAAAAAAATTGCCCAAGTAAACATCATAATGAATAACAATATATAAAACAATTTAAAAGAAAACAAGCCTTCCACTTTGGTATATTCAGCATCATTTTCAACTATCTGAAAAAGTAATGGCAAAGCTTAGACAGAGAGTGTTTACACAAGAGAATTAATACAAATGGAGCTTTTTTGACATACTGGAGAAATCCTAATATTGCATCATCTATTGTGCTGATGAGAGGAATCTGTAAGAGATTATAAAACTGTGCAGTAAGTTTAACATTCAGCTCAAAGACAAGAGGAAAAAAATGCATATATAAGAGAAACAGAAATGTTGAAAAAAGAAAATTTAGGATGTATAATGAGCAGAATGAGGGAATCACTGTGGCTACTAGAAAATGAAGCCAAGAAACAGAAATAGGATTGCAGAAAAAAACACAAGAGGGGAGAATACAACTTAAGGTGCTATTTTTTTCAGCCTCCACGCATTCCTCATGAGCCCTGAAAAGCAGTTCATAACAGAATACGTGCTCGGCACTAGGAGCTTTTGCAAAGTTCTCCAGTTCCTACAAGTTCATGGCCAAAACTTCAGTGAACCGGCACTACTGAGGGCACAGTTTCTCAGATTGTTTATGACAAAGGCAATGGCACAAATAATTCTACTGAGGCTCAGACAGAACTATTTGACAGTGAGGCGCTAATCAAAATTAACTGACGGTGTTATAAACTGGTCCAGAAAGTATCATCTGAATCTTCATTACGAGACTGACCGCTCTGCTGCTGTTCCACAGCCAGGCATGATTTGCGAAAATAGAGCTTAGTCTGTGATTGCACGCCTTGCTACAGCCCTCCTTTGGTGCTTGGGAAAAGGAAAGCACAGGCTGTTACCGTATCTAGAATGAGTCAGCAATGAGAACAGCTGAGACTAGGTGTGAAGGATTAGGAGGACTTGCACTGGTTGGTACCAAGTGTGATTGCTGTAAATCATAAGGCTCTTTACAAACGGCAAGGTGCATTTCCCCCTCTGGAAATCTAACAGGCATTTCCCCTTGGCTCTTACTGCAGCCTGTGCCTCCTGATATCCAGCACTTTCTTCTAGGAGACTCAGAATTTTCTGAACTGCACCATTTTTGGGTCTGTGAAATCACCTGCTTCCTCTGTAAACTAAGAAACGAATGTGATTCATTTGCTTCTGGAGAGGAGATTTCACTTCTTCTTACAGAAGTGAACAGAACTTGACAACTCTGTTACACAACAACTTCCGAGGTTTCAAAATTTGCTTTCATTCCAAATTTGAAGGAAATATAGTCTTTTAAATAGTTGTGAGATTGTGCTGAAATGTCCATTTAGACTTTGAAAAGGCTAGGATAATTAATCAGATCGTTCCCTCTTTTACTCTTATCAGCCATGACCAGAGGCAATTGAATCACTTAAACTATCCTGTTCAACAAATGTCTCTATCAGCTATTTTGCATTCAGTGCAAATCTGCACTGCATTGAAGAAAAAATTACTTGACCATGAGAAAAAATTACTTGGCCACATTTTTAGTGGCAGTAATTTTGAGATTCAGGATGAGGTAAAGGAGTGGAAATTTCCCTTGTCTACAGATTAATAAATTAGTTTATTTACAGCTTAATAAATATATTATTAATAATACAGATTAATAAAACTACTGAAAAGTAATTAGTAATGCCTTTTCAAACAGATTAACTTATAGCACTAATTATGTCTAGATACATATATATATGACTTAATATTAAAGTTTTTGCTTGTATTTTTCCCACAAAAATCCCGTATGACTCAATGGTTTGGAAACCTAAACAATCATATAAGTGATTTTAGGTCTTAAGTTCAAATTTTGCTGCTTAATTACAGATTTGTAATTCACACTGAAGTTCACTGTATGCGTACTCAACTTAAAAACTAATGAATTACTGTACATTCAAGTAGACATACTTAATGTCTATCTATGAGAGTCAAAGGTGGACGAAAAATGCAATGGGGAGAAGATCTGCTTTGCTATAAATTCTCTCAACTCATCATATGCTATTTGGACGCAGCCTGGGCCCAACTTGTATTTTGCGACAATAAGCTAAGATTTGCTTGTTTAGGCCAAATGTACTTAAGTCCCAGCTACAGCTTTCAACGTCCATCCAGCATGTGAGGTTTCTGAAGCTGGTTTGGCAAAGCTGGACTGAGTAACTGGATTGTGCACAATTATGGCGCCTGAAAAAATGCTGTAATATTGCTGTGACAAATAACAATGCCAATAGCAGAGCAGTTTAATGTCCTTGAGGAAGAGGACCGTAAATATTACAGTCTTTGTTAAAGGCTTAATTCTATTTCAGCTGTCATGAGTAGCAATTTTTTCATTGACTTCAGTGGCAGGAGGGTTAAATTAATATCGAGTGGTACTGAAAATCTGGCTTTGGATCAAGACTCTCAGATCTAATTTTAACTCTATTTGCTGTGTGACTGGTGCCAACTACCTCATTTCAATGTTTTTGCTACGTTAATGCTGGCGAATTACTTTGGCCTTACCAAAAGTTTTCAGACCAGTTGAACACATTTAACATGTTCTCAGATCATCTGCTGCAGTTAAGTGGGATGACAACCAGCAACAATGTTCGTACCATCTGACTACTTCCAAGCAGAATATACTGCATTTTTCCAAAGAGGCTACTTTTAGTCTTAGTATTTAAAAATATGCTGAAGCAGTTAAATAAATGAGAGGCAAAATATTTCCAAGCTCTTTACTTCCTATGATAAATGAAAGAGGGTCAGGTGGAGGTGTACTTTCTGAATATTGCTGACTGATTTCTAAACTTAGCTATTTTCGCAACTTTTAGAATAGGATTTTACCTGTCCCATACTGCTAGAAACTAATCTGCAATGTTCCTGCTTGACCAATACATAAGAAAGAAAGAAGGGCTCTGTGGTTTTTCTATCTTTCAATCACTGACATTTGTCTACTCTTCAGTGTGAAAGATAGTAAGTTAAACTTAGGTGCTAACTACAATAGATTTCCTTAGATGGTATCTTCTCAACCCAAAATCTGAAAGATGTCTTTTTAGTAAAGTTTGAGATAAAAAAGTTACTTCGAGACAAAGATTCCCATTGTAGTTTGAGAGATTACCAAATAAAATGCATCTGACTGACTCAAGCTCCTAGATCCTAATTTAAAATGTGGTTTAGGCAGTCTTAGGCACATCCAAAAGGGATGTTGAAACAGTGACACAGAAATATCGTAAGTACAGAAAGGATTCTAACTGGTACTCGTGGGAACCACGAAGCTGATTACTCTGGGCTATGTTTTCCTAGGCTAGAATAAACTAATCCTATCTTCTTCCTATTATTGTCACATAAATTCTTTGTAATATGTTCTGAAGCTTCATAACAGTATATTATACAGCAGATGGCTTGTGTGACATGGTGTTGTAAATAAAATGATGCTGAGAAGGACAGCTCAAAATGTGGCATCTGCAGTTTAATCTCTACATCCAGGAAATATGGAATAAGAAATTTTGAACTTTCTTGGTTTTATTTTAATCTAACTTGTTACTAGTAGTATAAAACAATCACTTTAACAGAATATAGGTGCAAGATGGATCTGAATCTCCACGATGGCATTCAAAAAAATCTCTCAAAAGCACCAAATTTTTGTAAACACAGATAATTATTAGAAAGTTTAAGTTAAAACATATTTGATATGGCTCTTGGAAATCACAAAGACTTGAGGCTATTTGTGCTTGTCTCACATGTATAGCAAAGGGATGAGGCAAAAATCAAATCCAGTTTTCAGAATGACAGAAAAGGTAGCAAAGTCTGCAAGAATCCAATCACTGCAAGTGAATCTGAACCCTCTCTAGTAAAAAAGCTAATTTACTTACCTCCTTATTCTTAAAAGATTCCCCAATGGCATAGACATCTTTAAACCTTCTTAAGAAAGAATTACCTCACAGATCCTCATTAATCTCAAAGTTTGACATCTTAAAACCATTCCCAAAGCTCTAAAGTGAATACTGGGTGGAGGATAAAGTTTGGTGTCTTCATTTACTGAATTGTTAATTAATGCCTTTCAAACTAGGCCACAAAGAACTGAGATTTGCTTCCTTTTCTTGATCATTTTTTTGGTTAATCTTGCCACTTGGAGCTTTCCCAGTTGAAGAATATTACAGAAACACTCAAAGCCTAAAAAAAATGAATTTTTGAATTGTATCTATTCTCCGCTTAAGAAAGCACTAATCTTTGTGCGATGGGCTGCAATTTATTTCAATCACTCTAGCTTTCTTACCACTTCTTTTTAACTAGGATGAAAATTCAACTCTTTTCATATGCAAATGAAAGTAACTGCTCTGTAAGGTCTTGAAGAATCCTCTCTTTTACATTTTAACTACCTGGTCCAAGTTTCTATTTTAAGCAGAAGGAATAACTTAAGACTGCCAGCTCCACAGTTAGGGAAACATTTGATTAGATTCTCTTAAATAGCTGTTTTGGAGACTGCATTAAAACATTTTAACAACCTGTCTTAGTTGTCTCTGAATGACCTTTTAATGTGCAGGGCTTTTTTTACAGTATATTCCCCTCCTTACTTTACTCCGTAAAGTAATTCAATAATGTCTCGTAATCCGCTGTTGGCCTCAACTCATTTTTCTATCTGCTGAATGCCTGGGGACTCCCCATCACACATGATTTCTGGCAATTGCAAGAGTACTGGCATAATTTGCTTAACCACTAACCGTAACGCAGAGATGTTCATCACCAGATTCCCTGTTCTGCAATCATGGATTATAGCACAACGTGTCCCACCTTAAGGATCAGTCTCCAGCTGGAAACATCTAGAGATTTTAAGCAGTGGCAATGTGACAGTGAGTCTTTCCTGCCAGGAGCAAATGTGTATGATGTGTGACATCAAAAGGTCCGTGGTGCCTCACCAGCATTTTTTTTTGTAATGAATCTATTTGATCTTGAAAAAACAATGCACTCAGAAAATATAAGAAAAATGCAGTTAATGTGTAGTTTATAAAGCAGCTAATTTATTGAGTTTGCCCACTTTAGCCTTGCATGCTGAGACAAGACTTTTTTGTGTGTGCTATAAGATCCTAAGAAATCATAGTGGAAACCGTGCAGTCTTACTATAGCTTATAGTGAAAAAAACCCGACAAATAACATCAGTTTCTTAGATGGGAAGCTAGAAGGCAGCATTTGATTTAGACCTAGTTTTGTTTGTAATCATCCGATGTTAATCTAGAATAGTTCAACTGCCAACACCAGAGTTACAATGGTAGAAAACTTGAGCTAGAGGAGTATTAAAATAGAGACATTAAAATTTAAATCTAAACCCAAATATCCCTAAAGTGCTCTAGATGTTCAGAGACTAATGAGACTGCAGTTCATGCTAAAAATAATCAGTTTTGAGGAATCAGTTTCACAGCCTTATCCTTTCCATCTGAAAACTCATTTCAGTGGCTGTTACATAATTCAGCCTGAACTTTTGTCCTCGGTGGGATGCAGCTATCTTGGCTCTTTGTGGCGATGGAGTTTTGAAGGGTTACCAACTGAACCTCTGAGAAGATATGATGCTCAAGGTCAATGGTTACATCTATTTTTTTACTGGATTCTGTTAAAAACCCCGAACCCTGTATGCTACCTTGTCTCTAGGTAGGATTAGGATTTCAATGGGGACTAGTGCTATAGGAAAACAATCAAGAGGCATTTCTCCTGTTGGAAACATGGTAGTTAGTGGAAAAAACCCAGATGGGCAGTAGGAGAGCTATCCAAATACCTGCATCTCTTCAAAATAAATTGATTTGTCAGGAAACAAGCATGTTCAACATTTTGCTACTAATTATAAAAAAGCATTGCTGCATGGTTTCTGCTACATGTTCAGTTCTCCATTACAGCAGGTAATTACTGTGTTTATCAAGGGTCCTGAATTCCAGTTTCACTGTGGAGTATCGGTTTGTGTCTGAACTTAAGTAAATGATTGCATACATGCAGTTGCTGGGTAAAAATATGTTTCACTCTGATACTTCAAGTTTGGAAGTACTTACATTTATGGGGAATTTTTCTTGACCCATTTGCTGTAGCAATAAAAATTAAGCTTGGAAAGTTGGTTCTGTCTAATCTTCATTTATAGCTAAGAAATTTTTTTATTAAAGACATAAACTACTATTTTAAAGAAGTAACTCCAGGAAATGTATCTTTTTTCTGCTTTAAATAATCCAGTTCCAACTTTCTACTTTACTTGTGCTGCAAGATGAATGAGAAAACTTCAGAGCACTAGCTGAAAATGAAAACGGTAAATAAAGTAATACCTCAACAGCTGCCTTTGCTCTTTCAAATTCCTCCTCCAAGGAGTGATTTCTGGAGAGAAGAGGCCCTCCCCACCGTTGCTCCTTAGTTGATCGTGCCTATAAAAAAAAAGAAGAAAAATCAGAAAGGGATGATATACTCTCTGCTACATTTCTGAGTTATTTTCTTAATCATCTAGAGCCCCAAATAGCCTTTCTGTTGGGCAGAACGAGTTGTGTCGCTGCATGAATTCTTCTGAATTCTCTTACACTATACAGGAGATCATTCCTTATGAGAAGCAGAGTAGTTTATCTTTTCCAGACTTTTCACTCAAGATGTGTGAAAGATAAAGAGACGTTCAAGAAAAGACAATTCAAGAGTGGGACCACAAAAGGAAGAACTATTTTGGATTTTTACTGCAATTGTTCCTTCTTCTATATTATGACTGTGGCAACACGTTCACTATGCTCCAGGAAGAAAACATCTCATTTTGTACGTTTTGTGTTTTTCTTTCAGGTGCTGTTTTGGGATCACACTGGAGAGCCAGGTTTGCTATGGATTTCATTGGAAGGGCTAATCCTTTTTTACAATCAGCAGCTCTCTCTTCTGTGCCTTACTATTGGAAGTAGAAAACAAGTTTCTCCCTGTTATTTTACAAAAGAACTTTTTGGTTTTGTTTTTTTTGCACAAAAGGCACAGTACAAAACCGAACAGTATTCAGTGATGGTATAGAAAAGCACAAAGTGAACTAATCTTGCTAAACGGAGCTCTGACTGCTAATCCCTTCCCTCAGTGTTTGTCAGAGGTTAAATTCATTAGCCATTTGCCTGACTATGGTCCCCATTGCATTAATTTACATGATTATATTTCTGATGACTGCACTTGTAATATTCAATTTCAATGAGCTACTTCGCTAAAAGACCAGTTTTGCTCACTTCAGACTCATCGGGCTGTATCTACAAGTGCTGGAGTGTGCACTCCTGGGATGAAATATCCGATGCATCCCTGTTTTTTCGTATATGTAATGTGCAATACACGGTCAAACACGCATGTTTGTGTGCATACACAGGTTTTTTAACTAGAAAGATGACATTCAGTTGTCAGTCTAGCCCTAAAATTTCTGGTTTGTTCCTTAGTCTTTGGTTTCTCTGAGAGAGATTGCTGAGTGAAACGTATATGTGGTTGGTGGTACCTCTGTCGCTGGAAAAGAATGATACAGTACAATTTCTGTGGGAAGCTCGTGGTGGTGCTGGGCACTGTGCATGTTCTAGTGTGTTGGCTTCAAGACTTTGCTGCGAGTGACGGAATGCACAGAGCATGAGGGAAGATCTAGAGTGAGATTCTGTCATTTCTGCTTTCACATCTACTGTCTCTGCTTCCTATTGTCTGGAAAACAGTTTTTTCTTTGGTGAGGCCAGGAAGAGATTTCAGGTTGCCATTGAAAAGATGCAAAACCCCAATCCTATAAATAAAATAGTTATTTTACTGCTTAAGAGAATTTAGGGCAGAAGAGATAACTGGCTCAAATTATCCATTTGTCTGTATATCACACAACGGTATTTGTCACTCAGCATCCACAGCATGAAACTGATGTTCCATGGAGAACAGATTGAGGTTGTCTCAACTGTGTGTCTTTGAGGAGGGTACTTGAGTTGAATTTAATGTTATCAGGAGACCATAGTCTTATCACTTTGTTTTCACATTTGTTTAATTGCCCTCCTTGTTTCTCTTATTAATTTTAATTTCAGTTTCCAACTATCACTTCATATTTTTTTTCCAGTAGCTTAAAGCACTTTGTAGCACCCCTTATTTTCTCTGTGGAAAGATACTGATTACTTTAATCAGCTTTTATTTGTCTTTTAAATGATATAAAGAGGTTTGAGATTTAAATTATCTCATTACAAGGCATTTTATTCAGATTTCACCCTTTTTTGTATCTCTTTTATTCCCTTTTTATTTTTTTAATAGCTCTACAGACAACTAAAGTGAACCCTATATTCCAGTACCTGTCTTGCCATTTCTCTTTGCAGAAGTCAGGGGATCTCCCGTCTCCCACTAATAACACCTGCTTCTACGCGCTCTTCTTGCCACAGTACTGCCCGGGTAACACTCATGCCGACATCCTCATGCACTCTGAGTTTGCATTTTTGTTTTGAAATGTTTGACTTTTCAAATGACTGTGTTGGAATATATATTTGTACAGATGTCACCAGCTCATTTTTATTACACCCTTATATACATGTTTTTCATTCCACTGTTGCATTGTATGCAAATTTTATCAGGAACAGCTTGAATATTTATATTCAGATCAGTATTATTGAAATTCTTTAGTTCTCTTTGAAGAAAAGAATCACACCCCCATGTGATTACAGTTCCTAGTAAATAACTACTGTTCTTGAGATCCTAGGTTATCCAGTTCTAATCTGTTTAACAGCCACTTTATTAATATTGTATGGTGCTAATTTTAAAATCCGAGTATGGTGCATTTATTCAAACATCTTGCCGAGTATCACACAGCAACATTTATCAACCCGACCTGTAATCCGATCAAAGAATTAAATTTGGTTTTCTTGACACAAAACTCTGTTGACAGACATTAATTACGTTCCTAGCCTTTTCATTATTTACAAGTTGGCACATGCAAACTCTTTGATTACTTCCACTTTTTCGTCTTTTGTTTCCAGTGACTGCAATTTCCTTAGGTCAAGGGCAACACTGTAAATCATGATGTTCAGACTGAGTAGCACTGCAGAAGGGTAGAGTGAGCTCATTTGGGCAGTAGAGAGGTGAGGGGGAAGAGGGAAAAAAAAGAATTAACAAACCCCACATAAGCTGCATTTGCATAAAGACAATGCAGAGTCATATTCTGAATTGTGATACCCAGAAATGAAAGACTCCACGTGTAGCAAACATGCTGCCTTTCGCCAGTGCGGGAAGAGAGCGCATGGGGATGGAGTTCCAGCTTGGGAGAACCTCACTTCTCCAGCTGGTGATGGGGTGGGACTCTGAAGCTGCCTCCCTTCATGGGAACCCGAGGTGGGTACGGGTCAGGGTGGAATGGGCATGTCTGAGGCATGGAGGCTCTGCGTACACTGTGGTTTGAGATGCTCACCACCCTACCATGAATGTGCTGTAGCTGATCACTGGCTGCTGTCTTCAGGGTCAAAATCTTCCATTCCGATGCATTTGCACACACTTTCCTGTGCTTGTAGTCTGCTTGTCTGCTATTGGACCTTAACTGTTGGTGAGAGGCTTAAACTGTAGTCTTAACTTTTGAGCAGGTCTTCAAATAATGAGCTAAACCTGTCCCTTGTAACTCTTCATTTCATTAGAGAAACTGGCACATCCAAGGAGAGCTATGGCCATAAGTCTTACCGTAGCTATTTGGGAGAAGCTGGGGATAAATTTTGCATCCTAAATATTGTTGCCCCAAACTGCAGATTTCTAAGGCTTACAGGCTTTGCACTGCATCTTTGTGTAAGAGTGCTGACGTATTAGAATTAGGTACTTTTTTTGGCATGTCAGGGTTTTTGTGTATGCATTATGGGTGAGAAATAAAACAACTAAAATTCCCAAGGAGGCATTTAGAGTTAAAACTTGAGCAGACGTTACGCACATACAGTTGAACATATTATGTCCCTCTGCAGTTTGCCATTATAAGAGAAAAAATAAACCTTCAAAACAACCCAAGCACTGTAGGATGTTGCAGTATTAATAAGAGCATAACAAAGAACTTTCCAGAAAAGCAGATGAAAGAAAGAACAAAGATACTTTGGGCCAATGCAATGTAAGAATTAATAATAAGAGTATCGTGTGAGTAGAATACGGAGAAGCAAGACAGCCACAGCCAATGAGAGCCACCATGGTATGCCCATTTTAGCCTTCAAACACACTTTTTCCTTATTAACTCAAAGATTGCCTTTGTGATTTTGTTTTGGTGTAAGTGCTGGTAAACACAGGATTTTGTTAAGAAGATTGCATATTTTTAATGAAAATATGACCTAGTTACTTAGAGGAACTAAATATAACATGTCAAAGATGAGTGATGAAAGTGGTTGTCTGAGAAACTGCTGATGGAAAACTGCAGCAAGTTTGACACGATAAAATTTTTAGGATATGGCAGAATCCATTGCATATGCAAAGGTTCCCTTTAAATGAGATAGATGGGATCTATGGAGAACAAAGTATGGAAAACATTTGCTTTGATAAAAGCTCTAAAATGATTTCTTTTACCAGTGTATTAAGAACTCAGCAAAGACAGATGAGTGTGTTTGTTGGGAAATGACAACTTTGACAGTCCAAGTATTAGCAGGCGGTGGATTGAAACACTAAATTTCTAAGTAAACCACCTAGAACACAATCTCACTTCAGGTCATTTCTCTGCACTACTAATTACCCGTTTAACAACATTTCATAGTATGGAGCTGTATTGGGTTGGCTCAGCCGGATTT